AAACTAATAAAATTATGAATAATTTTATTTTTTATACTACATTAGTAGATTTTTCTTTCGTTTTAGTTAAATGATACTTTTGAGTTTAATACATTGCTTTTATTTTTTGTGCTTGTTTGATGTTATAAAATATCTAATGCACCCATTGTGATCTTAAAAAATATTCTGAATGTAAGAGTATTTGAATTATGTTACATTTCTGAAAGGGAAAAATAATCAAATTGGTAATTCAGAATGTTCTTTTTGAACATTCATATTAGATAAATATTAAGTGCAGATATCAAAAAGAGGAGGTGAAACATACCCCACCAAATATTTCCCCTAAGATTTTTAATAAAATAACTTATTCAGGAAAAGAGTCATTCATTAATGAATAAGTACTAAAAATTTTATTTGAATAAATCTGTGATTTTTGACAAATATTTTAAAATGGGGTAGGAATTTTTTGCTTTTATTTGCTAAAAATTTATCCATTTTGGTTGTACTTATAAATATTGCATTGTAATTGGTTCACATATTTTGATAATCTTGTAAATATAAAATGAAACTAACAACTAAATAATGTATAACATTTTTGTTATTAAAATTCTAAACTTCGCTTGTTAAAACTACATATTGCCAAGGGAATATACAGGAGTAGCATAGTCAAAAGAAAGAAATGTCCTTTTCACACTTCATTTTTTTGCAGCTATGTAGGCTAAATGTTGCTGAAATAAGTTTGTCATTTGAACCTGAACAATTGCTCAAATCTACTATTATTATGATTAATAAACTTTGTATTAGTTTGTGAAAATTGTTATCTTACAAAATCCATCAATATACAATTTTTTATATAAATGCAAAATCAGACTACCAGCATTATAGATTATATATCTTATAGAAGATTAAATATTACATAGCAGCTCAGCAGTCTTTTCTGTTTTCTTATTTCTTACTACTTTATTTAGTTTCTGGAAGATATCTTTCATTACTATAATCATTCAGATTTCTGTTTCACATTTTTCATTGTCTGTTACTACATTACTCAGATAAATGTTTGTTCCTGTTTTGTTCTGATGTCTCCAGTATGTAGCTTACATCTTAGGCCATTTTTTGTTGATGACCATACATTGCCTTCTTACAGTTAATTTATTATTTCTTCTTACTTTTCTTGTCTATGAGCTCCTGCAGTTTCCTTTCTGTACCTGTCATCTGCATATCTTGCTTTTAGCATTATGTCCACCAATAATAGTGCCTGATGAGTTTTATAGTTCTCTTTGCATAGTTTAAATAAAACTAGTGAGAAAACTTACCCACATTTTACACCTCTTTCAGTTTTTGTCCATTCACTTAAGTCATTCTATATCCATGTGCAAGATGTTTGTTCTAAGTTGAGGCTATAATTACTCAAATATCTTTCTCATGTAATTCAAGCTTTTCTAGTATTTCAAGTAGTTCTTTGTGTTGTACTGTATCAAAAGTGCAATCTATGAAACAAATATTTGTCTTTCTGCATTTGTATTGCACACTCTAATAGCATAATAAAGATCATTTGAATGACTTGAAGACACTGTTTTTGCTCTATTTCTGGCCTAATTAGGATCTCTATGCATTAGAATGCTAAAGATAACTTTAGTTATGTAGCTCATTAAGCTGATTGTCTCATGGAGTTTGTATCCATTTGCACCTGGCTTCTTTGACATCACTATGATGATAGATCTACTTTGGTCTCCTGGTATTTTACCGCTGTCATGCATTTATTATACAAGTATTATTATTGATCCCAGGTAATCTAGAACTAACAGCATCTCTATTACAATACTATCTTGTCCTGCTACTTTCTTACTGCTTTTCCCATCCAGTCCTGATTTTAATTCAGATTTGAATACTATAGGTCCTTTCATATTTTTGCATATTGTAGGTTTCTCTCTTTTGTTGGCATGGAAGAGTTCTTCCGGTCATGCTTCATCTTTGTAGTATCTTTTCTCTCATGAGTATTCCTTTCTAGATTTCATGTATCCTGTTGAAGAATGTTTTCTCTCCTGCTATTTCTTTTATCTTTAGCCTGTCTGCTATATCTATGTTCTGTAATGTTTCTATTTCAGTACACTTTTCACTGAGCCATTCACCTTTTGATTACTTACATTTATTTGTCTTTGATTAACATCCAATTATCTCTGCCATTCCTTAGCATTATCTTGTCTTATTAGTTCAAGAATTTCATGTTATCCCCATTTTTTCTAAACCTCTCTTTTTTTGGGATGACCTCCTTTGCTGATGTCACTAGTAAAGGAGTTCCACTTGAGTTAATGACTTCTAAGTGTTTATATTTGTCCTTAACTACATCAATATGTGTATTGAGTATAAGTTATAAACAATAAAATTATTTTCATTTTTATTCTCAATAAAAAATATCTCTTGCAGAAAAAGGATGTTTTAGCCAGGGGAAATTTCCTCTGTTACTGAAGAATAATTTTTCTTGTTTTGAGTAGAGCAAATGGCAGAATGCAGTACAAATGCATAAAAATTATCCCAATTATTTGTAGAACAAGAATAAAACTAGGATTCATCAGAAACTAAACAGCATTGTTGCAATGCAGGTATTAATCATAAAAATATTCAGAGGGCAAAAAGGAAGGTGAAGTACAAATTACAAGAAGGGATTTACTGTTTGATAATTAATAGGTAAAGTATATAAAAAAACAAAACATTAATGTACTTTGGCACTGTTCAAAAGAAAAATATTCAATTATTAGAATCATCTAAAAGCTTTTATTATATTAATTATCAGATTTTCCATTCCTAAAACTTATCTGCTATATCTAGGTTCCACTTTTCATTAAGTGAATGGTTAAAAAATGTTTCTGGTTTTATTAAGTACTGAATGTCATTGTTTTGAGGTGGAAGAAAAAAAGAATGACTCTGGCCATTAAACCTAATGCATTTTCCTTCAAATAAATTTATTGTGAGAGAAAATTAGAAAAAACAAGGAAATAATCTGCAGATTAGAAGAGACTTTGAGAATTGGCAACAAAAAAATCAATTTATAATGCTTTTTGATCAATATTGAAATTGAATACTGGGCTTTAATTTATTAAATATATTATGCTATGTAAAGCAGATGCAAGAGAAAACTAGACCTCTCAGAAGATTGCATTTAAAAAACAAACAAACAAAAAACTTGACATTTATTTTACTATATGAAAAATACATCAGAAAACAATACAATTTGCATAATTGCACTGTAAATTATATTAGTTAATCATAAAAATAACTTAAATACCAGTAAAAACCAAACCCCTCTTGTTACTTCTTTATTCTGGTGCCATTCATAAGCATCTCACCCAACCAGTTAATTTTTTACACCCATATTGTGTTTAAATTTTTGATTTGAAGATGTTTTAGGTCAAAACCTAAAGTTGGTGAGTTATAAGAAAAGTAAAGGAAGTAAATTTCAGAACTGACAACTATGACTCTTGCTTGCAGAAATAATAAAAGTCTATTCATTAAGGATTATATTTAGTAGCTTAACCCTTTCTAGTTTAGTGTTGCTGCAGTCTACCTAACTACACCCTGTTTGTAAGTTTGATGTCAATCTCATTCAAATTATATCACAAAAACATCAGAACCCAGACAAGTGATTGGTAGTCAGTTCAACAATTCACACAGGAAACTTTCAATTCTGGAATGCAAAGATAGTATTCAACTTTTCCATGCATTCATTAGTAAGCAAACTAAGACTTCTTAGGTGACGAAAAATTTCTTTAATTGACAAAGCATGGGTGAATGGTAGTCTTGTAAATATGTAAGATAGATTCTAGTGAGAAAAATTGTCTAGCATGACACAGTGAACCAACATTCTTAGTAGCAGACCTAGCAATCAATTTTATATAATCTTTCTACTTCATGTCAGTGGAAATGTTAGCCAGAAAAGGTACTGAGTCACTCTCCTTGATGCTAACACCAGCCATGTTGAGGGAAGGCAAAAAGGGTTCTCTCAGATAATTAAAAGAGAGAAGTTTTGTTTTGGAGGTGTTAAAATTAAGAAGCCATTCCATGTCTCAGTTAACAGAATGTAGGTAATATTTTAGATCAGCTGCCAATTTGACATTGTAAGAGGTGTAAGGCAACTGTCTGTGAATGGCTGCCTCATCTCAAATGCCCATCTTGTATGTCTCTATTCCATAGGATGACTGCTAACTACTACTGGTGGATACCTATATAAGTATGGGAAACAGGTTTTGAGTTACAAATTGATCTGCATATGTGTATAGTAACAGGATAAAAAAAGGTTTTCATGACTTCATCCACCAATCACACACTGGCAGGGTCAGATGAATACTTGTCTATTAGGCAATCAAGGCAGAATGGAGGGTAGCATTAAAAAAAAAAAAAAAATTCTGTTACTGCATTTTGGCCAAAGTCTGACCAAGAATGGTCTAGCTGGTTTATCTAAATTGTCAATTTTCTAGTGGTGAGTGAGAGTGAAGGATGGGCTGCTCATTGTTTCATTTGATCTTAATAGTTAAAAATCCTGTTATGAATTCAAACTCCAAAAATTCCAGGTGCTAATTCAATGTATTATAATTAGATGCTTTTGGTATACTAGTAACATTACTAGCTTAACTATCTAGGTTTTTATATCAGCTGTCAATTCTTATTCTAACCAGTACCAAGTATAGATACACTTACTGGTAAAATCCACACCAATAACTGACTAGCAAGTTTGAATATGGAATACTGTAGGCAATTCAGTACAATCACAATACTTTAACACATGATTTAGAGATTATGTTATCATATGTGAGAATACAATTTTATTTACTTTATTTCCAGCTGTTCATTGTATTTTACACTTATCCTTTTATAATTTAAAGGCACAAGAATAACAACTAATGTAGAGTCATATAACTCATTAACATTATTATACATTTTGTTTAATAATTATTATAATATATTGTATTAAAAAGTTGAATTCGTATAGGTTTGAGTAAAATAAATATACACTGAAATATTTTAATTTATCCATCTGCTTTAGTGTGTTCCTCAGGATCATCTGTATCTTCATTAATGGCATTATTCCCTAAAATATATAAGAAAACTTGCAAGAAAATGATGTTTGGTCATTCAAAAAAATCAAACAATAAAAAGAGTAACTTGATGGTGTGTCCCTGCAATAGTCCTTAAGAAATGTTCTTCGAAACTGGTGCCTGTTCTCTCTAAACTCAACAATAAATATCTTGCTGCTTCTTGCTGAAAATCCTGTACTTCTGAACTCAGGCAAAGCATCTGATCTTTTAATTATTGGCCTATAACTTAAACAATTCAGAATTAATCAGAGCCTCTAGTACTTTTCCAAAAAGAGGTAGTGGACAGATTGGTTTGGTTTGATTGGGTTTTTATGCCATATCAACATCAATGGGTTATTTAATGCTGACAAAATTTTTATTACTGGTAATATTTTTCTTCAAAAATCTATTTCTGGCAATATTTTTCTTTTAAAAAGCTATTGCAATTAATATTTTTCCCAAAAAGTATTGCTGGTATTTTTTTTTTTTTTTTTACAAAAATGTATTGCTGATAATATTTTTTTTTAAAAATATATTGCTGGTAATATTATTCCAAAAATATATTGCCGGATATATATTTTTTTTAAAAATATATTCCTTCAAAAATTTATTGCTAGCAATAATTTTTTTTTTTTTTGAAAGTATTTTTGGTATTAAAACCCATTTTTACACTTACATAGTGTTATGGCTTATCTGATTTATGTTTAGTGAGTGAAGTATCCATAATTTCTATGCTCTCTAGTCTATTAGCGCTTTGTTTCTTGTCATGTTTTGTTCTTTGAATGTCTTTTGTTTTTGCTTGTTTGTTTGATTTTATTTCCTTAGATTTTCCATTAGGTTTTTTTGACGATCTTTGTTTGGGTGATGACCATTCCCTTAATGGAGATGGAAGAGAGTTTTGTTCATCTATGTCCATTTCACTTGGTTCTTCAATGTTGTACTGGGTTATGCTGTTTTTTTATGCACCTTTTGATTATCTTAGGAATGTTTAGAGGGTTCTATTTCTTGAAGGATTTTTGTATTTTGTATTGTGATTTTCAGAGTTAATTGTTTCATACATATAGATTCTTTTTTGTTTGAGGTTGATGGGATAGGAATTGTTTTGTCTATGGAAGTTTGATTTATGTGTGATATACTACATTTTAGTAGTTCAAATTTTTAATTAATTTATTAACATTGTAAGATCTTGGCCTCTTATTGCATTGTTCTCTTGGACGTCATTTTGGTGATTTGATATTTTAGCGATATTTGCATATGATGTTGGAAGTGAATATGATTCAACCTGTTTTCTGGCTTCCTGGAATGAGATGTTTTGCCTGTATTTTATTATTTTCTTTTCCTTTTTCCAGATGTTACACTCTTTAGAGTCTGCTGAGTGTTTTTTTTTATGGTTTGGACATAAAGGAGGCCTTTCACAGGGTGACTCTTCATGATCTAACTTAAGTTCTCCATATCTTCGACAGACTGATGCTCTTGTACAAAGGTTTTGTAAATGACCAAGTTCCTGACATTTGTGACATCTACAGGGATTAGGAATGTATAGCTATACTTTGACTATTGGGTATCGTATCTTTATTTCTTTAAGTAGAGTAGGTTTGTTGAATGTCAAAATGTACGTGTTTGTGTTTATTGATGTGTCATTTCTTTTTATTTGAATTCTTTTGGCCACTGTTACTCCTTGCTTTTTTTTTTTAGGATGTCATCATTATTAATTTCTTCTGGTGAGCAGAGTAACAGCTCTGGGAATTTTATTATTCCCTTAGATGAGTTAAGAAATTGGTGGGGGTAAGAGTTTACTTTATTGTTGACTTGATTTTAAGTAATTTTTCTGCATCTTTTTTGGTCTTTACTTTACTTGAATCAAAACTGTATTTTTTTTTTTTTTTTTTTACAAATTTTGGTTCAACCATGGCCAATATAACCCTTTGCAACACAAAAGGAGACACTTTTGTTATATCGCCATCTAGTGATTCTATAATTATGAAAGTTGGAAATTGTTTTTTTTCTGATATTTAATTTTCACTTTATGTTTCAGAAGTCTCATGTTGTCTCTTGGTTTGTTTATAAGAGATAGCCATATAATTTTGATTTTTGTTTTGCCGACTGTGTTTCCCACCCACCTTGGAGTTCCTTCTTGAACTGACAGGGCTACGTAGACGGTATAGTTGTGATGAAAAGTGGATATGAGCACCTGCATTCCCCAACCATATCTACCCAAGTATAGTATGGCGTAAGGAATCGCAGCCATGTCAGAGCCATTATCTATCATCCCAACTAGCCCTTGCCACTACGTGACTAGCCAATTGGAAGGGATTGGGCTATTCCATCCACCTGTCTATCCCAGGTAGGGACCAAAGTGATGTGTTATGGACACTCCTGGTCATTTTATACCAGATCAAGAATCACTCAGTCACCAGGAATCCATCCCCAGACATCACAGGTTGCCTCCCACAGCAAACAGGTGGTCCCATTGAGGGGAATTTGTAGTTTTTTGGGAAGCAGTTTTTGTGAATGTGAATTTTATATATTGCCATTTGTATTACTGGTATTTTATTATAAAAACACATTCTTAGTATTCAGACTCCAGTTTGAGGGAGGGGGAAACTCTGAGACCCTAACAGGTGCTATCACTCTGGGTTCCACACTACTCAAAACCTCCCGATCAGGGCCTTGCTGCTGGATGCAGTTTATTGTTATACCCAGGACAAGGTAGCAGATAGAAGGATCAGAGTTTGCTAGAACTAAAGAAAATGATTTCCAACAAGCAAGAAGCAGCAAGGCATTTATTGTTGAGAACAGGAGCACATTTCTTAAGGACTATTGCAGGGATACCATCAAGTTCATATATTTTAGAAACGATAGCAGAAACTAAGGACAAAGTTATATGCATATCACTCAATAGGGACTCAGTTCTAAGTGAAAAGTCAGGAAAAGATACCCCAGATGAGTCAAGAGTAGAATTGGGAGAGAATTTACAAGCAAAACATCATTAACTGAGTATGAGAGAATATGAGAAAAACATGATTAACATGAAAGAACAATAAAAGAACATAAATTTAGAAGAGAGAAGATAATAATTGACAATGTATTTAAATTTTTTGAAGATAAAACTTGACTGGACTGTAAGAAGCCAAAAGAGATATCCCCAAGAAGTGTGAGAAAAGAAACTTAGCATAGAACTAAATCAAGCCATTTCGACTGTAAAATGAGATCTTGCTGCCAATTGTACTGTGCTTAAATCCATAAAGTCTAGATACCATAGAGGAGAGTTCATCAGAATATTTACCATGCAAGTATTTATAGAAAAGATATGGGCAATTTAGCAGAGATGTTATGTCAGGACCAATGACACTGCAGATTCTTCATTGGATTTTATCAAGAATATCTAAATATATAGCAGGAGCACCAGATCAGATCAGATGTGGCAGCAATATTCAAAGTATAGATAAATGGTAAATAAATATGTAAGATTCTGGTGAGAATAATTGTCTAACATGACACAGTGAACCAACTTTCCAAGCAGCAGACCTAGCAATTGATTCAATTCATGTCAATGGAAATGTTAGTCCCAGAAGGTACAATGAGTCAATCTCCTGAAGGTTAGCCTCAACCATACTGATAGAAGGCAAAAGTGTTCTTTCTGATGACTAAAAGAGAACAGTTTTGTTTAGAAGGTATTAAAATTAACAAGGCATTCCTTGCTCCAGTTAATAGATTGTAGGTCATTTTTTGAGATCAGCTGTCAATTTGTCTTTACTGAGCCAATCAGACTTACTATTTAGACAGGAGTACATAGTTGTGTCATCAGCATAGATACTAAGTTGAGAACTTATGACATCAGGAGGTCTTTGATGAAAATTAGGAACAATGTAGGTCCAAGGATAGAGCCCTGGGGTACATCTGCATTAATGCAAAAAGATCTAGAAGAGTGACCTTTCAAGAAAATATCGCACAAAAGGAACTCTAAGTGGAAAGTCAGGCAAACATACTTCAGAGGAGTCAAGAGTAGAATTTGAAGAGAATTTATGAGACAGACATTCTGCTTTATCAGTAGATGTTAACACCTCAAATTCCGTGAAGAAAGGAGGGATAGAAAACAAATTTATTTAATGCACTATTAAAGAGCTGCCAGTAGTCATGAGAACCAAACTTGTTAGAGACTATACAGTGCCTCATTCTATTAGCAAACAAAGAATTAGCTACTTTGAGGACATGTTCACAATGTGTGTAGACACAAATAGGTGTTTGTTGTGATTGGACCAATCATACTGGAAAACCTGGAAAAAGTGATTCCTGTGGACTATAGTGGCTGAACAGGCCAGTGTGAACCAAGAAGATTGTAGTTTCTTGACAAAGAAGAAGATAGCCTGGAACAAAGAATTCATTGACTGCAATTGAAGAATTTAAATTAGTTTTGCAAAGTGCAAAGATATCTGAAGAACGTTTAAGAGAAAAGCTTCTACACTAGAGAAATTGCAACACATATTCTCTGAATCTTGAAGAATGATAGGTTAAGGGGAGTAGGTGACATTTTGTTTACTGCTTTACTCTTATTTCTTTTCATTGTATCAGAGTCATGAGAAGATTTTGTTTTAAGAATAAAGGGCCAAAATAATTACCACTATCTATCGTCTATGGAAATACATACTGGCCAGAAGGTGGCTAAGACTAAAACATAATGTGGTCTCAGGGTTACCCATTGGAAATACATGCAGGGACACCTACCAATGTGTGGCATAGCACTACAAGTACCCTGATATTATGCAACTGTTGATCAGAGTTTAGGTTCCTTATTCTCAGTCGGATATAGGAACCAGAAAACTGGTACCCTCACAATGAAATGTCATAGCAACTGATCAGTTAGATCACCAAAAACTTAAGACAGTTAAATTATTATGGCCAAGGAAGAAGAAAAAATTGGTAAACCATATTGTAAACAGGAAACAAGGGATAAACCTCTACTCCTGTTCAATAAACATGAAAGGAGTACCGGCCTGGCAATAAGTGAACCTATTGAGTCCTATAAACATCTTCACAGCACATGAAGTTGGGCACTTTTATCAAGACACCATCTCTAGTTAGGTTGCTGAATAAGGCTCTAGACCTCTTCCAGGCCAAGGGGAAAATCCTAGATTATTAAAACCTCTCTGAAGGTTATCCCAGGAATTGGAATCAAAGGAATATTAACATAAAATTAGATAATTTAAATAAGTTTATATGTATATATAGACAACAACAAAACACATGCTTACATATATATCTTACACTGGACATCAGAATAAAAACTTAATCAAATGGACCATTTATTTGTACTATCTTCATATACTCCAGTTATATAGATAACAGTTAATAAATATAGTGTTTTGTTATTTACTGAAGACAATTCAAATCTGTTGTTTCTAAGACTAAATAGGTTGTTTATTTTTGTTTTAATCTCTATTGAATAATAAATTAGAATAATTATTACCATGAGCAAGTTTTTCAATTTCTTTACAGCAACAGGCAGCTGCATGAGAATCTGTATCAACAGCAAGAGAAGAAATTCCCTTCATAAATTTTGCATATGGAGTGTAAATCTCTGTACAGCCACGGGCAATCACATTCTACAGAAAGATAATAGCAAACATAATTGGTACATTCATGCATTTATAATAATCACTAGAAATACATTAGCACATGCTAATAGCTATAGATGTACATGTGCCAACTTATGTAAGAGAATGTATATCTCAATTAAGTGGCTTTTGAATTCTGATCAAAAGAAATAAAATTTACATTATTATTATTATACATATTTAATATAATGATAAAACTTTTTCAATAACAGGTAGTTCAAGTTAAAAAAGCAAGAAAGATTGTAAATGAATGGGAGCAGCATATATTTTTGTAAAGTAATTGGCCATGGTTAAGTGCAATTGGCAACAATGCTCAACAAATGGAATTGACAAAATTTCCAATAAACAATTAGAAAATAAAAAAAAAGGACAAGACAAAATAATACTGAGCAAACAATATACAGGGTGTGTATCAAAAAGACTTTTATAAACTTTGGCAGCAGGTTACTGACAACAAAAAAATGTCCAAAGTCCATATAAAGATATGCCTGCAAATCCTTCATTTTTAAGTTATTAATTTTAAAAGAAAGTTTACAGTAGATGATGCTGTTTTGCCATGTAGACTAGGTTACATTTATCATTCGTGTACATTTGTGGCTAATCTGTCTTCAATGTTTAACATGTATAGTAGTTAGTTAACTGAGAAGTGTTCTGTTTAACAATGTCAGGATATTCATATATCGTGAGCAGGCAGATATGATTTTTAAATACCTCCATGTGAATGGTAATGGACACGAGGCTGCATGGCTGTATCAGATTGCATTTCCAGACTGAAGGCAGCCAATTCATCCAACTTTTGCTGTTGTTTATCATCACATTGCTGAGACGGGATCCGTGACACCACAAACTATGGATCAAGGAAGACTAAGATCTGCTCGTATGCCTGACAATGAAGAACACATTCTACAGGCTGTCGGAGATGATCCAGGTATCTGCACACTTTAAGTGGCCCTAGCATGTTGTACATCTCATAGTACCACATGGAGGGTACTTCAAGATCAGCTCCTCTATCCGTATGTGTGCAGGGTCTTTTGCCCTCCAATCACTCAACATTTACTGATGGTTTATTGCACAAACTGCTGATCTGTTTTTTGTCTCTTTAGTCTTGTTTATGGATGAAGCAACATTTGGAAGAGATAGAATAAAAAATAAACACAACCAATATTTGTGGGTAGATCAGAATCCTTGTGGTACAATACAGGCTAGACACTAGCATCAGTTTACAATTAATGTGTGGGCTGGAATTGTAGGTGACTGTCTGGTAGGTACATATGTTCTCGCAGTACATCTTACAGGAGACATCTACAGGGACTTTATTTCAAACACACTTCCAGATTTGCAAGAGAATGTAACCCTGCTGGCATCTAGCATGAAAAATGGATAGGTAGGAGAGTACCGTTTCCATGGCCTGCACATTCCCCAATCTAGATGCTTTGGATTTATATCTGTGGGGCCACCTTAAACAATTGGTTTATGTAGCAGACATTAATAATGCAGAGATGCTTCATTAACATGTCATGAGAGTCAGTGAAACCATTTGACACCATGTGGGAATATTTGAAAGGGTCTATGATCTGACAGGTGCATGCATATATAGAAGCAATTGAAGGACATTTTGAACATTTGTTATGAGTTGCTCTGTTATGGTACAATGATGGCCTTTTGGATATATGGACATTTTATCTTGTTTTGATGTCAGGAACCCACCTCCAAAGCTTGTAAAAGTATTTTTGATATGAACTGTATATGCAAGACAAAAGTAGCCAAATCAACAGTAATAAGGCAACATGTTCGCAAAGTAAAAATGATGTTCATATGCAAAAAGGAATAAAGTCAAGTGATTGTGGCCATAAATCCTCTTTCACAATCCTCCTTATTGACATATCTGAAATATTCATCCTTTTACCATGTTTCTCATGTTTCTTTTGGGATTTCTTTTCACCCTCTTCTTGAAAGCTTTAATGACTGAAATTGTATGCACTGAATGGTTTCTTCCTGGAATTGGATTTAGTGAGGGCGTTTGCTCCTCTTGAAACTTTTTTCAAACATTAAAAAATAGTTTCTCTGAAAATATTCAACTATTTTATCACCTCACAATTCTTCATACCAGCCATTTTCAATGTGACAATTAGATCATGTTTTGTTTGAGCAACCATATTTAATTGAACTATAAACAATAACACAAAAGAATGTTAATAAGTCTTATGCAATTTTGAAACAATTTTTATGAAGAAGTATGTTTCAATTTATGTTTAAATAATGGGTAAATATTTCTGCTGCACTTGGTATTTTTAATGACTAGCAAGTAATTTGCATGTGATGAAATTATACAAGACAAAAGTTATTGAGGGTTTCTGTGTGAGACATCAATATAAAACAATATCACAACTTTAATATTTTTACTGTAACTTAAGATAAAAATCACTTAATTAAAAAAGAAAATCTTGGAAAAAATATTTAAAATTTAAATTGTGTTTTACTTTTTGCTTTCAATTTTAAATTACTGAATATTTTTTCAAGCATCAATCGTTCTGCTATAAAACTGTACTACATTTGAGAGATCAAATAAGTGCATTTGATTTTCTGATCAATGTCATCAATAACAGTAATAATTAGCCAATACAATAGTCCATGATAAAGGAATATTTTCCAGTCCTTGTCAAGAAAATAGTGGAGGTTTTATGAGAAGAAAATGAAGACTAAAATATTTTTCTTATTTTTGAATATCCAGACACTAAAGAAAAAAAAATAGTAATCAAAATGAATTATCTGAAGGTGCTTGGTACAGAGAATAAAGTAAAATTTTTAACATAATGACTATTTTCTCCTGGATTTGCTTTTACTGAGTGAAGCATTGTTATATTGGATATGAAAACTGTTTCAAAGCCGAATATGTTTAGTGTAATCTGTTGACAATAAAAATTTCTGAGGATCATTTCTTTAGGAGTCAGTTAAACATAGTGGATATTATGTTCCACTATATACCTGATAACATCTGCTTTTTGAGTTTAGAGTAACCGTTACAGAGACTGTTGTGAATAGTTATTGCACAGGATACTGTTGTGGGTTCATGGACAACTCGGATTTCTTTTCAATTTGTGTTCCTTGCATATAGTTGAACATGATGCATTGTTTCTTTGTGCTGCCTTGATGAAGATCTACTTTAACAGATTTCTTAAAAAGGCTTGGTGACTCATCTGTGGTTTCAGGTCAAAACATTCCATAATTGATATGATCTTTTCCCTCCAACAGTCATGTGTTTGGAACATCAACCAATGTTGTCTACCTCTATACAATGATTTGGAATTGCGACACATACTCTGAGTCCATTGTAAAGATTCAGGATGTGGAATTAGTAAATACTAAACACTTCAAATACCTTGGTGTATGGATAAGTTATAACAAATTTAATATAGGTGAAAAGGAAATTGAATATAGAATAGGCTGTGACAGAGATAGATTTGCCCAACACCCCAACAACTAAAAGGCATAGCACATCTAACTCAAAGAAAAATTAATGACATAAGATGTTGACATTTCACACTACTTCAAATAAAGGATAAGAAGGAAACTAACCTCAATACTGGAAAGAGTGATAACAGCTACTGTACTTGAAAAATCTTTTTCATGAAAAATTGTTACAAAAGAAAGATTTATAAACTTCAACTACTTCAATACTGGCTGCTTGGTCAATGAATGCCAAATGTTTCCTTGTAGGGAAACAGCTAATACTACCATTACTATTACCATACCAAATCAGATGGAAGGCTGTTCAGTTTATCTTGATTGAAGAAAAAAAATTCAGAGTTTGTGAGTTGCTCATTAGGGACATTACATGAAAATAACATGTCATTCACAACACAGAATTAATGTTTTATGGACAACTTCTCAAGAGCTTGCTAAGATTTTAGTTTGACCATTAGCCTGAAAAAGACAGACATACTAAGCCAAGGTGTTGAGAAATTCCCTGTCATTGGCATCAACAACTACAAGTTGCAGGTAATCTATGAATTCAAATACCTTAGCTCCACAAACAGGTCAACAGACAGATTGGCCACTTGCCAAGCTGACCAAAAGAATCTGAGAGAAAAGAAAGTTGGTTATGAACACCAAGATTGCAGTTCTCAGTATGTGCCCTCATAACACACTGTTTTACTATCTTTTCTTCTATTTCTCCTAAGATACATTCTGGACATCAAATGGATGGAGTCAACAACACTGAAGTCTCCACATATACCCAACCTGTTTACCCTGCTTTGGCTGCAATGATTCCACTCATGTACATTGTATGTCAGATGGGAGAATTCCAAATGTATGAGGAATTGGCCAATGGCAAGAGAGTACAAGAACAACCTCATTGTTTTAAAGATGTCTGTAAAAAGACATTAACCTGAAAACTAGAGTCATGATCTTGAAGCAACATTTGGAAGAGATGGAATAACAAATTTACACAACCAATATTTGTGGGTAGATCAGAATCACCATGGTACAATACAGGCTAGTCACTGTATCTGGATATCGAGAGATGGGAGGACATGGGGAATTAGTATTGCTAGAGGTGGGAACTATGTAGAGGGCTGGAGTGAGGAGAAGAGAAACTGGGGTTGATTTCAAAGTCAATGCTCTACAAAGCTTTATCCCTAATATTGACTACTCTTCTGCTCAAGTAAATTTTAAGCAATATATACGTTTAAAGTTTGTTATATTTATGAGAGATGTGCTCAATATCATATATAGGTCCCTTGTAGATAGCTATTTATATGATGCCCATGTTTCAACTGCATTGTACTAATAAAATATCAAAAACTTAACTACATTTATTTGATGTTCCCTATTTCTTGAACATTAACCTAAAATTAAAATTAAGTAAACAACAATTGATCTATCTTATCCCATTGTTATAAATGCAAACAATTATAATAAATAAAACTAATTCTTTTAATTATTCAAAACAATTTCTAATTATGATCTTTTGCAAAAGTCTTTCT